CGTACAGCAGCAGCAGCAGCTTAACATCTTTCCTCCGACTGCGACAGACTTGCTGGGACCCTCCTGTGATAGAATCGTGAGACCCGGTGAAGTTTACCCCGGTAAACAAGGAAAAACGTGTAACAATAAAAAATGGCATACAAATAACATTTCAACAATAAATAACACACCGGGCTAAAAACGTGGGTTTTAACGTAGCTGTCATATCTAGCCTATGCCCAAATGTGATGTCCATTGCTATAAAAAAAAATCCCACATGATAAGCCACTTCGTTGAGCTATCATTTGTGGCCAGGTCGCTTATGAAAAATAACGATACAGCTCAGTGCGCCTTCCATGGTTAAATAAAAAATTTATTTTATTTTTAATGATTTGCTTACCTTGGCTATACTTCGCGCTCCTATCGCGTTTTTTTGTGCATGATTTGTTGTTGTAACTTTCTGACCCGTCCCTACTTGACATCTGTGAATAAACGCTTCATAGCTCATCGGATTCCTCCAGAATGAATGGACAAAATATTCTGAATTCAGGATCTGCACTGTATCGCGCTCCTCCCCTGCGCTCAGCCGATTGCCGATTTGTGAATCCACTCAGAAACCCGTGCGGCGTCAATAAATCACAAATCAGCCACAGCGCTCAGATCACAACCAGAAAAGGTCACGAGTTCAAATTCCGTTCGAGATCAACGCGCACGTGGCCCGTGATCCAGCGCTGTGGAGGCAGCGAGGGGTTGGTGGATCACCACGCAAAAAGTTTGCTCAACTCCCTTCCAGTCGGGCGTTGAAGGGGGCGACTGTGCACTCTGCTCGCCAGGAGAAGATGGTACGGCAAAGTACGGACGAATATCGTTTGTCCCTTACCGCGCGGCGTAGATCGCTCCGGGTTGCCTCCCACTACGTACGAACCCGAATCGATTGGCTGAAAACATCTTAACATATAGAGGACTGCAGAGCTTGTTGGCGCAGGCACGCTGCCTGTCTGCCGCTTTACCGCTCGCCGGTGTTTCCTACACAGGTCAATTGAGTGAGTACCGCTCTGTTGGAAGCCAGTCGTGGCTCGGGCCTGTCGAAAAACTTGCCCTCGCCATCGTAAAAGCGGAATTCCCACCGGCGGCTCAGGGCGATCAAGCAGCGATGAGCCACTCCGTGCTCGTACGAGCCGCACGGTTTGGAATTGGTTGGCGCGGGCAAAAGAAGAAAGAAATGCCAACGAACGCTCCAAAATCGAGCATTGCTCGCTTGCCGAAAGGAGCCCGCCGCGCGGGGCGTGGCGAGCCCGCTTGTCAATTCCACCGCCGTTAATTCCGCCGCCGTTAATCGGTCAATCCCTCACCGGGAGGGGCAATTAAAAAGTAACGGCGCGCCACTCAAAAAGAACGAAAACAAGCGAGGCATCACAGGGCCGCACCCGAGCGGGTCCAACGTTCGCGTCACCCAATACTGCCCCCACCCCCCCACCACCACGAAGCAACCCCCCCCATCAACCGCCCACCAACCCCCCCCCCCACCACCAAACCGCGAGCGCCGTCAATTAGCCACCGGCGCGTTCACAGGAGGAGCGCTTGTCTCGTTTGAAAACGAATTCACCTCGCGGGTCGCGAGGGCCTGCGAGGGCAACGGGCGTTAAACCGTCGGGAGAAACCGGGGACCCCGACAGGCAAGGCCACAAAAGCGAATGCCAAATGACAATGACTTTAATTGTGGCCTCGCTGTCAGGCTGACTCGGCGCGTCATCCCTGCGGGGGTCGATAAAATCGGCACTACTTTGCGGGGAAGTCAACGGCGGTTGTTCTTTTTGGAGAGACTCGCGGCGCGTGCCCGCCATAGGAATGTGGAATTCCCACGACTGGCCCAGGACAGTGAGCGCGAGATGAGCACTGCCTCGATGGCTGTCGCCTGATGAAGCTAGTTGTAATTGCTGGCGAAGCGTCGTACTCGGTTTGTAAATGTTGTGGCTTGGCTTTCCAACACACTACCGGTACCGGTGTGCTGTACTAGTGACGAATTGGCACGTTCTGTTTACGTGACAACCCTTCCAAAATTTGTATTTAAAGCTTCCATGACTGCAGGGATTCATATTCTTGGTTCTTTCGGTAAAGTCACGTAGAAGGGAGACAATAAAATAATAAAAATATAAAACAATACAATTATCACGACGTTTCGACTGCAACACAAGCAATCATCATCAGGTGTGAAAACCACAGCAAGAAAATTTGAAAAAAAGTGGCGATTTTTTCTTAACGTTGTCTGTGTCGGGTGGTGGCGGGTTTAACGACACATTTATATATACGCGATCTAACCCAAAAACCTTTATTATGGATGATATTGGTCGCGAAAACCTACGTGTTAAACAACTTACGTGTTAAACATTTGTAAGTCACTCAGTCACGTTTACACTTATTTGCTACAAATGTCTACGAAGGTCTTCGCAGTTTACGTACTATCCATGTATTGCGTTTGGGGCACTACCGTTATTTGGAGAGTCGTAGAGTCTTCAACCAACACGATCTACTGCTACACGCCCGTTCTGCTTGTCCTGCATTAGATTCCCAGCCGTAGCTAATATCAGTAGCGGAGTGATACATGACCTTCGGACATTACAAAGCCACTGAGAGCTATGGCACTTTTAAATCTGGATTGAAAACTCATCTCTTGAGAACTGCTCTTTGTTTTTAGTTTGTTGCCCTTCCCCCGGCACCTCCGATGAGCGCGGTTGGCTACGTACGGTGCGAAAGAAGTTCAACACACATGCGGTGCATCCATTGTCTGCTTGCCAGAGTGAGCCAGTCCCTTGGCTACAACTGTAGATGATGGATGCATACATACGTGCAGGCCGCCCCTTCACAAAATCTGTTTTGACCAGTGTGGTGAAGTATGTTCACAACACTGAAGTATATTCACCACACTGGTGTAAACCCTCCAGGTGGCAGGGTGACACAGTGGTACAATGGTAACGCTTGTGCCTCACAGAAGGAAGGGTTTGGGTTTGATTCCCATCTCGGGCACCTTCTCTCCCTCTGTCCTGCACGAGTTTCCTCCGGGATTTCCAGTTTCCTCCCGAAGATAAACATAAATATACAAAACAATAAAATATATAAATACACGCAATGTTACCGGTCGTAGCCAAACATCCGAACGCTGAAGAATAACCTGCACAGTACTCAAGTGGAATCACGCACAGCGGCAACATCGCCACCCTACCACATACACCTGGTAGGGCCCTCCTGAATACAAGTGTTGAGACTCAGCGAGGCATTCCTGGGTGAACGAGTGTCATACATTACGCGTTATCAACAACATGAGTGGTGCTTCAAAGGCCTCGCTTACACAGCCTCCCCATCAATCGTGTTTGTATGTGACGAGAAAACCCATCGTAGCAAAACAAAAGGACAACGGGCCAGGCAAAGGAAACCATACATTTAGGACGCCGCACAGAGAATTGCCGGACTCGAGACAGATACCTGGAATTTTGTTTAAAATTGATGTCGGGGTCACTCAGCCAAGTCCACAAAAATGTGAGGGAGGGGGTGTCCAGACCCCCATATTGGTGTCACGCTTACCGTCACGCTGAGCTCCACGTCGCCCCCCAATGCTTGTATTGTATGCACGTGTGTGCGTGTGTATTCTATGTTGAACACGTTTGGGTGTGTATGTATGTTGAACTTCTTTCGCACCGTAAGTAGCCAAGCGTGGTAATCGGAGGTGCGTGGGAAGGACAACAAACTAAACACAACGCAACTGTGCCAACAAAATGAGTTTTCGATTTAAATTTAAAAGTGTGTAGCTCCCAGTGGCTTCCTAAATATCGGAAGGAAGAGAGCGTTCCAGACGGCCGCAGAAGCGCATCTGAAAGTGCGCGATGCGGTGACCGACTTTGTTCGATTGCTAGCCCAGAAGCCGTTGCTGCTGTGGTGAGGGTGACCCGGGTTCACGTGACGGTTCACACTCCTTGAAATTCCCTGCATCCTACGCTTCGCGAACCCAGCAAACCCACACCTTTGAACCCCTTATCAGTGCCCCTACTTTATTACAGACCAATTCAGACATTGTTGGTCACCCTGTGCCCTTATACATCCCAACGTTCATCCTACAAAGTCCCATCAACAAGGGAGAAACACAAACAAATAGACGATATTATTTTTGCCCGTATTGAAACGGCTGCAACACAAGCAATCATCATCAAGTGTGGTTTTCACACCTGATAATGATTGCTTGTGTTGCAAACGTCGTGAGAATTGTATTGTTTTATATTTGTATTATTTTATTGTTTCCCTTCTACGTGACTTTACCGAAAGAACCAAGAATATAATAGGAATGTGTGTTTGGCAGAGTTGTTCAGGGCTTCAACCTTAATTGAGCTAACAGGAATGGACGTGTGTATGTATGTATGTTGAACTTCTTTCGCACCGTACGTCGCCATACTTACAAACAGATGGACAGATGCATAGACAGATTCACAGAACGATGAACACCTGGACAGACAGATGGAGAGATAGACAGATGGACAGACAGACCTATATATGGACTGACAAAGACAAAAACCCCAAGATAGCCTTAACAGACTGCTGGGGCAAGTGCTAATAGCGAGCACCTATGAAGGCCGGAACGGCACACGAGGGAGTGGGTGGCCAGCACCACGCCCGGCCGCCTTTGTCTCCCAGTGGCGATGTTTACACACCGCACCAGGTACTAATTTGAGGCCAAGTCGACGTAGGGGAGGCCCAGGACCGGTTCATAAAATCGTCACTGACGGTGTTGGTGGCCGTGAGCGGGAATCGAACTCGGGTCGCCGGTTTCGTAACACAACGTGCTAACAGCTACCACTACACAGACAAAGACAAAGATCCCCCGTATAGCCTTAACAGACTGCAGAGGCAAGTGCTGTTACCGAGCACCTATGAAGGCCGGAACGGCACACGAGGGGGTGGGTGGCCAGCACCACTACGCAGACGCACACAGACGCGGCGTGAACACGCGGCATGCTCGAGGTCCGCGCGCTTACAGAGGCACTCGTGGGCGTCGTCGGACGAAGCCTGGGCCCAGGGTCGCGAGTTGTGCGACGGGAGGCATCTCTCGCAGTCATCGCCGGTCGTGTTGTGCTGGCAGCGGCACACGAGGCGCCCGTCCGACCCGCGCCCGCATTCGCTCGCGTGCCCGTGGCACTTGCACCTGCACGGTGGGTGGGGGGGGGGGTGGCAGACGGGGTCAGAGGGAGCCTCTGGTCGTCACCTGGGCAAGAAGATTCGTCCGCCTGGCATCTCCAGAAGCTTTTGATCTTATTCGTGGTGTGAACGCAGCAAAGCAGATGTCTACGGGATCTTTTTGTTTGCTAGTTATCAAAATGAAGACGTAAGAATGGGCTTTACCCATTCTGGAAATAATACAGGAGGTGTTAAGAGGTTCAGACACCGAATAGATTCCTATTGCAAGGCTTAAAGTCTGCATTAAAAACGCATTCTTGGGCCAAAACATGCAAACAATCATGCTCTGATAATTTATGCACTCTCTTTTAAACTGATAAGCCTACACCAGGGACAACTTTCTTATAAGTGCTCAATCCGAGCTATTAATACTTTCATACTTGCATTGTCTTTGTAGTGTACGCCGTTAGGCGTTCTCTGGTCTAACACCGGTGAGACAAGGCCACACCGAAGGCTGTTTCTGGTGTCAGTCAATCCGTTTCGAAGACAGCGCAATATAGTATCGGAGCATGTGTTGCCACAAGCACTGTTTGTGATTGATGCAGATTTGATTCCTTGCAATAGGTGTCGATTCGGTGCAGCGAATGGAGGAGAGCGCTGAGCCAAGCTGAACGGTGTCTGTACGAGCGTGGCACGGACGTGGGGCTCCTCTCTCCTGGACGTCTGTGACAAAAAGAGCTTCATGGCTCATCGGATTTCTCCAGGATGAATGAAGATTCTGATTGTTTGTTGTGGTCTAGGAAACAACAGTGGGACGAGAGCAAGGACGGAGAGAGGTGGGGGAGGAAGAGATAGAAAATGAAAGGAGGCATGAGCGGAGTTTGAGGGGGGGCACGGGAGTTGGGGGCAATGCCCCGACCAATCTGGACACCTTTATCAATTTATTTTCAGTTGTTTACAATTAAGATTCATATCTGGTGGTGGACCCCAGCCAGTGGATGGAAATTCCACATCCCTATGGCCAGTGTCAGTTTATCTTCAAGGCATCTTCAGTTGTATTATTTTCATGATTATCATGCTTGTTTACTCAAAATACTTTTTCCAGGAGTGTGCTGCCAAGTGTTTGAAGTTGGGGGCGGGGTGGGGGGCAATGTTGCTGTTGCTGATGTGTGTGATCACAATTAAGTAAATTTGGCATGTGTGGACCGTTCCAGTTACATTGTGTGTGTGTCTGTGTTTTTTTTTTTTTTAAGCTCTGGGAGGAAACCCGTGAGGCAATCCATACAGAACAAGGGGAGAGAAGGCACAAACTCCGCTCTAAAAGGTGCCTGAGTCGGGAATCGAACCCAGGTGCTTCTTGCACGCGAGGCCACGGGCGTCGCCACTACCGCTGCCGCCCCCCGAGGGAGACGACGCTTTGGTCGCAACGCTCGCCGACTGTGAAGTCTGGAGGATACTCTTTGGTTCTATTGGGTAAAGTCACGTAGGTGAAAAATAAAATAACAAAAATCACGACGTTTCGGGCACAACACAAGCGGCCTTCATCAGGTGAAGGGACGAGACTGTCTGGAGGACAGCGCTGGAGTGAAAAAAGCCACGCTCAGATCACGACCTTTAAGCTGTGTGAGAAGAAACAAAGCGCCTTGACAAAGGAATTAGCATATAATTTAGCATTGAAATGGCTCATTGAAATAGCTAAGTTAAAGTATACACATCCGCAGAGCCACCCCTTGACAAAGGAATTAGCATAGAATTTAGCATTGAAATAGCTGAGTGATTAGCTTGTAACTGGTCGTTATTTTTGTTATTTTATTTTTTACCTACGTGACTTTACCCAATAGAACCAAAGAGTATGGATCCTAGCAGTCACGAAAGCTTTAAATCTAGAAAAGTCTGGAGGAGATGAACGCGCCGATGTTCGTGAGCCGGGGCGAAATCTCGGGAGCAGCTTCGCAGCCACTGCACCGCGCTCCGCGCACCTTCTCAAGCGCCCTGCATATTGCGCACGCTCAACCCCCGCACGCCACTCTCACAAGACGTGCACCTCCCCACACACCCTCCCGATCGGGGGGCACACGTGTGCTGCTCAATAGGCTCCGGAGGGGGTGGCGCGCGGGGGGGGGGGGGGGTGAGGGAGGTTTGATCTCGGCTATAAAGGCAGAGAGGCGCTGGCTGGGTTCCAGGGCTAAAACACAGACAGGATGCTGCTGACAGTTATCCCAGCCACCGTCATTAAAAAAAACGCCGAATTAGCCTTCACCTGCACTCTGCTCACTTAAGCCAGGCCTCGATGGCAACGGAATAGCCTCTGACCCCCCGCTGCGACCTCTGGCACGGGAAGCATCTTGCTTCAATTACTTTATGACTCTCTATCTTTACAAAGAAGGCGGGCTTTACGTGGTGAAATAAAATCGTTTCGTTTAGTTTTTAGTAACGGACGGCATTCCGGCTGTGAGCCGAGGGCTCTGCGCGCGGCCCAGCGCAGCAGCACGGCCGAATGATTCACACGCTGCGTTTTCACAGGTTCCCAACTCCCGTTACATAAGCAGAATGGAAATTGCTCGTGACCACAAGTGGCTCTTTGTCAAGCTTCGTTAGTCACGGTAATTGGCGTGGGCGACAGCGTCCGCTTGCACGGAAGCCAAATCATGCACGCGGCAGCTGCTGCTGATGATTTTGCTGCTGCTGGTTGTGGTGGTGGTGGCACCGTGAGTGTGGTTCGTGACTTTATGGGTAACGCTCGTAGCCCAGCCGACAACGCGCGCTGCGCTCTTGCCAAAGCACCCCAGCCTGCCCGCCCGCCCGCCAAAAATTATTGCCGTTCTTTTTTTTGTGTGAGCCGTGCTCAGTGCGCCCCAAGGTATTGTGGGGTTCGCCGGTTTCCAAGCAGCTGTTCAACCCGCGGCTCGGCCGTGCCCCGAGCGTGTTTTTGTTGCGAAAGCGGCGGCCAGTTCGGTTCCCGACAACAACCGGACGGGAATCGCGCCGTTGTGCCCGCCCGGCCGAGGCCACCGCTCGTCGCGACGCCGGCTCCCCGCCGCGCATCGCTGACAAGGGGCCCAATGCAACGGGACCGGGTGGCTATCGGCGGGAGGGAGCGAGCATCTCGCGGCTGGCAAGGTTGCGAGATGAAATCCTGGGCATGCGTTGACTCAGCTCATCATCCCCTCCGGGGGGGGGGGGAGGGGGTCATTAAAATGAGTACCAGTTTTTTGGGGGAAGTCAATGGTCAAATTCGCGTCTTCAAACCACTGGCTCAGGCTTGTAAACAATTTAATGCAATATAAAAGAATACGGTTTGGGGGGTAGCGTGTTGAGCTTCTGGTTGCAAATGCATGCCAAGAGGCTGCACGAAGCAGTGCCACCGTGAATCACGGGGAACACGAAGTGTCCATGCTGCGAGTATCCATTTGCATAAACGTATCAATTTAAAACCCTCTGTCCGTGCCTCGCTATACAAACGTGCGTGGCGGAGTGGTGCCCTTCTCTGCAGATGGATTTGGGCAATAGGTGGCATTTCCACATTCGTTTTGTAGCGCCTACTATTGGGGTGCAGCAGTAGCGAGATGTTAACTACCCCACCGAGTACACAGAAGGTCGTGGGTTCGATTTCGACCCTGGTGCCTGCTGTATATTTGGAGTTTGTGTGTTCTCCCTTGTGGTCGCGTGGATTTTTCTCCGGGTCCTCCGGTTTTTCCCTTCCACATTTAGAAACATGTGTTTAGAATATTTTGGCTGCTATAAATTTCCACATAAGCCACTTCGTTGAGCTACCATTTGTGGCCAGGTCACTTCTGAAAAAGAGCTATATACAGTAGCTCAGTGGGACTTACCTGGTGAAATAAAATAGTTTTTTGGAATAGTTTCTGAATATGGATGTTTTTCATACTTGGCTAACGGTGACGTGGATATGAGAATGACCCACGGAAGCAGGTGTCACAGAACTACCCCCGAGATCATTTCAAGTGACCCTCTGGTCCACACAGTTACGAGGCACCACTCGCACATCCGCTCTGCATATGAGACTACAATGTCCATCGCATGACAATCAAACCGATATACTGATTCTCAGAATTTGCATTTCGACTCATTTAAGGATATAAACAAATGTAATCCGATGGATTTTTTTTGCGCAAGTCATTGGTGACCGGGCTGACACCACCGGTTTAAACGTCGGGCAGATGCTCGACTTAAAAGCCAGGATCTCAACGACGCTCTCTCAACGCCATGAAACCTCTTGGGCCACCCGGCTCACTTCAAGTCGTGTCTGTATCGGATGACAGCAGCGAGGTGTGTGGTTAGCAATGATAAAGTGCGAATGGCCATTCAATAGCCTCCGTGGAGGCTTGGCGAGCGTCAGCGACGTTGCCCGCGAATCGGCGACGTTGGGAGGGCGCTGCTGGATCACGTGACTCATTGGTGTGGCTCTGCGGACTTCTTAGGCGGCCGCAATCTGCCAGGCTCGTGGTTGAGAGCCGAGCACCGCGTGTGTGTCACGGGGAACGCTCGAACCCCAGGAGCTGCCCCGTCCTCTTTACGCCATCCTCAACTTACGTTCTCACAAAAGTGACAAAAGCGACCGACTCTCCGTGCTGTGATCACTCTATCGGGGCTACACGTGGTTACATTTCCTCCCCCCCCCCAACTCCCCGCCACCCCTAGACTGCAACAAACTCGGCCAGGACCCTCCTGAAAAAAAAAGAGTCTCGTTGCTCGGCAAGGCTTTCCTTGCTCAACGGGCGCGTAAAAAAATATAGAAAATAATGAAAAAAAATAACAACGAAAATTGTAAAAAGAAGAAGATACTAATAAAAATGATAAAACAACAAAAAGATAACAACAACAAAAAATAGTAATGAAATAATAATAAAAATATTATACAAATTTCAACGGTAACCGTTCGCGCTTTGCTTCGCGCGCAAGAGGTGTGAAGGCGGCGGCTGCCTCACCTGCCGCCCACGGCCAGGTCGGACACTGCGTAGTAGTACGAGCGCAGCACCTTGGGGTCCCCGAACACCTCGTCCCCGAAGGTGTTGAGGCGACGCAGGGACACGCGCACGTCGGTCGCCGTCACCCATTCCTGCACACAAAGACAGAGCCCCCCCCCCGTGTAGCCTTAACAGACTGTAAGGGGCGAGTGCTGTCAGCAAGCAGCACCCGTGAAGGTTGGCACGGCACACGAGGGGGTGGGTGGCCCAGCACCACGCCTGGCCGCCTTTGTCTCCCCAGTGGCGATGTTTTACACACCGCACCAGGTACTCATTTGAGGCCAAGTCGACCTAGGGGAGGCCCAGGACCGGTTCAGATAATCGTCACCGGTGTTGGCCGTGAGCGGGAATCGAACTTGGGTCGCCGGGTTCGTAGCGCAGCGTAGGGCTAATCGCTACACCACCGCTCCCCCGCACACACACATGCACACACATGCAACAACAACAACAACCACCATTCGCCACTAAGTGGCGGTGACGTCACCACGACGCTTGTGCCAGGCCATGTGCACCTTGAGGCCACGTGAAGTGTCGAACGCCCGCGGGCAGGAGGCCACGGGGCAGACCCAAGTGCCACGGGTCGACTAACTAAGATGACTGAGATGACTGGCTGATGCACCACCTATGCCCCCTACTGTGCCAACCTGCTGTGCTCTAGCCACCCGGCGCTCCGCTCGTTGTTGTGAGCGTCGCTCCTCCGCCCTCCGTTGTTGTTGGAGGGCGACTACCCCCAACTGCCCAGTAGCGTCCTTCACGAGCCTCCTCCACAGAGGCCGATCTTGACACCGCTGGTACCAGTCATCGGCAAGTCCACTCAGCTCCACGTCCTCCTGTACCACATCACTCCATCTCCTCTCTAGCCTGTGCCGCGCCCGCTTAGCCCCCTCGATCCGGCCGAACAAAAGCTGTTTCGGCATACGGTGGCTAGGCATGCGGGCTACATGACCCAGCCAACGCAGCCTTGCCTGCCGGAGGAGCTCACCGATGGGACCTTGCCCAGATCTTTCAAAGATTTGTGAGCTCCTCACACAATCCAGCCTGGTTAAATCCAGGATAGATCGTAGGCAGGCTAGCCTAAATATTTCTAACCGGCGAAGATGTTCCATTAGGGGGGTCCACGTTTCGCAAGCGTTTAGAAGGGAGGGAATGACCGTGGCCGAGAAGACCTGAAACTTAGTACGGAGCGACAGACCAGGTAGCTTCCACACAGCGTTACGCAACCGATGGAAATATATTGCCACTCGACTGATTCGGAGTGAGACCTCTGCTGTTAAACTGGCGCCAGTCATAAGCACACTGCCCAGGTATGGGAAACTCTCCACTCTCTCGACAACTGCCCCATCACCGATTGGGAGTTGTGGGGTTGGAGTGTCCGATGGTACAAAATACCCAGACAGGTGCTTAGTTTTGGTGGGGCTGATGGTAAGGCCCCATCTCTTAGTTGCACGCTCCAGTCTCAGCAGCAGCGTCTCCAACTAATCCCTTGAATGAGCAGCTATTACCAAATCATCAGCATACATAACGTGGTTGAGCAATAGGGAGCCATCCCTTGACCGCACCCGGGCCTCCCATTATATCTGTACCATATGGAGATTCCCCCGGTACAGCTATTGAAGGCTTCACGAACTACGTGGTCAAAATAGATGTTAAATAATGTGGGAGCCAGAGGACATCCTGTCGCACCCCAAGGTGTACAGGGAATGGCTCTGACTGCCGGCCACGTAGTTTTACCCGGGCCCGCTCACCATCATGAAGGTCCTTAATGATCGTGAGCAGAGGGTCAGGTACTCCAAAAGCACGAAGAACAACCCAGAGCCCAGGCCTACTGATGGTATCATAGGCCTTGACCAGGTCAATAAAGCAGAGATGTAGGTCTTGCTGGAATTCCCTACACCTCTGCTGTAGCAGACAGATAGAATTGTATCATCTGTGCAGGACCGCCCTTTCCTGAAACCGCATTGGGGCTCCGCAAGCCTCTCCTCAGCGTGCCTGGCAAGGCGATGTTGAATAATCCTTGCCAGGACCTTTCCCGGCACACTGAGGAGTGAGATGCCCCTGTAGTTGTTACAGTCTGTGCGGTCCCCCTTCTTAAAGAGGGGGACCACCAGGGCATCCTTCCAATCCTGCGTTACCCGTCCAGTGGTCCAAACTGTTGTTATGATGTCATATAGGGCAGTCTGTGCACAAACGCCACCCTCCCTCAGCATTTCGCTTGGGAGATCATCTCTGCCCGCTGCCTTTCCTGGTCTCAGACTCCGGATCGCCTTCAGTACTTCCTCAACAGATGGCACTTCAGCCAGCCACCCACAGGGGGTGACTTCTTCCAATATTTGAAGCACCGCAGCCTCAGCAGGGTCATCCTCACTTTGTGCCATGATGTTTTCCTGGCTGAGGGATTTTCCCTCCCCCAGGACCTCACAGAAATGCTCAGCAAATCTGCAAACCTGTTCCTGGGGGTCGGAGATTGGATCACCGTTTTTTCCCCTAATGATGGTAATAGGTGTGGCGCTGCAGGTTACTTTTTTGATGGAGTTAAATAGAAATTTGTGATCGTGGGCCACTGAGGCAGACTCCATCTCCTCAGCAACCCGCGACCACCACCCATCCTTGCAGCGCCTCACGGCTTTCCGAACCTCCGAGCGAATGCTGCGGTAAGCCTCCTCATTCTCTAACGTGGGATTCTGTAGCCGATGACAGAGGGCCTGTCGCTTTTTCTTAACCATCCTGAACACCTCCTCTGTCAGCCAGGGTCTCTGGTGAGGTCTGGACAGCGTACCCAAAGCAGCCATTGCAGCTGAATGAATCACAGTCCTAAACCTCGCCCATTTACCCTCGACATCAGGAGGAGTGGGGGACGATGCCAACCCCAGCCGCAAGCGATGATGAAATTCTCGCTTGCAACTTTCATCAGATAACTGAGACCAGGCCACTTTAGGTTGGAATGGGGTCCTGGGTGTACACCCACCACCAGAGTGGAAGAATGGCAGGCGCATCTTACAGATGACTACTCGATGGTCAGAGGGCAGATCAGCTCCACTGTAGGTCCTGGTGTCAAGGACATGGGCTCGCATCCGCTGGTCCGTCACTATGTAGTCCAGCAGATGTTCTTGCTTGGACCCGGCATGCATCCATGATGTTGTGTGGATGCGCCGATGCCGGAACAGCGTGTTGGCAATTACAAGCCCATGGGCTGCACAAAAATCTAGCAGCCTCCTTCCGTTGTTATTGAGGTGTTCTGGCCCATGCCCTCCAATCACTCCAGACCTGGTGCAAGCATCATGACCAACTCGGACATTGAAGTCACCCAACAAGATGACTCTATCCCGAGGGGGCACTTTAGCCAGCAGCTGTGACAGGAGGTCATAGAAGGCATCTGACTCATCGGCTTTGCCTGCATCCCTCCACGGATGTTTGTCTTCGGTGGGGGCATAAGTAACCACGACCACCACTCCTCGCCTCCGGTTGATGGGAAGGCGAGCCCAAAGTAGCCTGGGGCTTACAGCTTCCCACACCTCACCGCCACGCTCCCACGCCCCCTTCATTCTTTTGTGCAAAAGAAGTTCACACACATGCACACATACATGCACACACATGCACACACACGCACAGGGATTTCACCGAATTGCAAACGAGCGGTTACCACCGGGAGAGACGACTTCTGAGCGATACGAGAGATTTTCAAGATTGAAAACTAATTTCTTTAAAACTGCTTTTTTGTGTTTAGTTTGTTGTCCTTCCCCCCCCCCGCACCTCTTGATTAGCACGGTTGGCTACATACGGGGCGAAAGAAGTTCAGCATACATACAGTCCGTTCTTCTATAACGCGGTAGTTGCGTTCCTGACGAACACCACGTTATGGAAAAATCGCGTTCTAATAAATAATACGTAAAATATGGTAAAGCACAGTCGGCGATAACTCGTGAGATGCGTACGCGGCCTGAACAAAGACTTGAGGCGCGTGCGGGTGGCATCTAGAAGCATCCAGCAGCATCTCGATGCCTCGTGCGACGATGCTACGCCGAGGGAGCCGTTACGACCGCCCGTTCCTACTCGCGCGACGCAGTTCCCTTCACTCAATCGCGTTACGCCCCATTCGTGTGTTGCGAAAACGCGCACGTACAGAACAGACCGCGCATGCACACGCACACGCGTACGTCCTTAGCGGCGGCCGCGAAAGCCCTGCGCGTGACGGCGATTGCACCAATCGATGCGGCACCTGCAGCTTGTCGTTGCCGTCAAAGGCGAGGGCCCCAGGTCGGCCCTCGAGCGTGGAGAAGGCCACGTTGCCGCCGGTGAGCGGCGAGATGTCGCTGAACTCGTCGGAGCACAGCGCGGTCCTCTCGTCGTCGCCGGCGCGCAGGAAGCCCCTGGACGGCAGGCCGAAGGTGCGCTCGCACGTGCCGCTGTAGAACTGGTAGGGCTGCCAGGGCGAGGCGGGCGACGTGCGCTTGTAGATGGCGAAGCTCTCGGGCCGGCTGGTGTGGAAGCGCAGGCGCACGTAGGTGATCTGGAACGCCTTGCCTGGGGGGGGAGGACACAGAGGACGGGAAGCGTCACTGTGGTGGCAGTCACCGATTGCTGTCGTCACAGTCGACGTCGTCACAATCATCGTCGTAGCACGGTCGACGTCACTGATCATCGTCGTCACAGTCGTCGTCATCACGGTCGTCGTCGTAGCACGGTCGACGTCACTGATCATCGTCATCACGGTCATCGTCGTCACGGCCGTCGTAGTCATGGCCATCGGCATCGTCGCTGCGATCATCGCGATCAACGTCGTCGTCGACGGTGGAAAGCAGCAGAGGCATCGCGAGTGACAACATCGTCGTCGTCATTGTCGTCTTCGTCATCCTTGTCATCAGCGGTAGCAGCACTACCAGTCATCATCAGTGGAAATTAAAGAACCGCCCAAGTGTGATTGCGATTAATCTTGTCGTGAAGATGCTTCGCGTAGTTTAATTGTAGTTTTTGTTGTTTACACAAGAAAGCCTTGTCGATTATCACTTCCTGTTTCAGGAGGATCCTGCATTAGTTTTCACAGGAGAGGGTGATGCCTGCCATGTCAATTACAATTCAGTAATTTAGCCGTGTCGTTTTGAAAATTTGGTAAATGTGGACCAGGTGGCCGATACACAGTGGCCTCCTCGTGATCTTTCACATCCACTCTGAAGCTGACAACGCGTAGGAGTACCGTTATGGTTATTACACCTGCGGTATTAACCAGGGGGCCGCTGGACTAGAACCGTGAGCCACTGCAACAATCTGAAAACTGAAACTAATTATTTTACCGGAAACTATTTATTTTACCAGGTAAGGCTCACTGAGCTATGTAGCTTTTTTAAAAAGCGACCTTGCCACAAATGATAGCTCAACAAAGCGGCTTATCGCCTGTAAATGTATAGCGGTCAAATACTCTAAATGCTTGTTTCTAAATGTAGAGGGACACACCGGAGGACCTAGAGAAAAATCCAGGCGACCACGGAGAGAACATACAAACTCCAAATATACAGCAGGCGTCAAGGTCGGGCTTTGAACCCACGACCTCCTGTACACCAGGCGAGAAAGTTCACCAATCGGTGAAGGCGCTGCCGCTTAGGGGTCGTCACCACCTAAATAAAATGTCGAACGTAGTTGGTAAGTTTGGCTGGGAATCAATAATAATTCAAAAATAATTGGCCCATGAAAACGCTTGCACACCACGTGACTATTTAATTTGTTTGGCTGTGTCGCGATGTGGGTGGGTCTTAACGACAGAAATCTGGCCAAGATTATTCAGTAGCCCAACAGCAATAGCAATTACAGACCATAACATTCGTTGTCAAAACATACGCGTTTAAGGTTTCATTCTCGAGTTTGTTGTTTGACATTTTGTCAGGAAATTATTTTTTTAAGAAGAACGCCGAGCGAGCAACGCGAATCGCGTCACGACAATTTAGGAAAACTGACGATGCCGATCACCGTCGATCGAACGTCGTCCAGACGGCTCGCAGTGACACCACATCGCGACGAAGTCCCTAGTCAGGCTGGCGCAGGCGGTTTGCGGAGGGGCAGACGCGGCGCGGTCCCCTCTGCCTAGCGGAGGGAAATGTCTCGGTTTTCAGGGGGGTACGGAGTAAGGACGCGCGAAGCGGCACGTGCCTGCAGTGGAGCGCCCAAGCGATGCACCATACCGACCCCTGCTGCTCCGCCGTCAGAATTGCAACCCGGCAACGCGTCTCTTCGAACGTACACATGCTGTGGCTGAAGGCCTCCAAACGCCGCGTCAAGTCATGGGGAGTGGCTTAGACCATACTTCACCGCGCTGGTCGGTGCGGGTTGGTGGGTGGGGGCCGCGGACCGGTTTCAGATTCCACTGGAATATGGAAACTCCATATTCCTGTGGAATGGGTAAATATGTGGGTAACTGTGAAAAAGAGATTTATAGCTCATCGGATTCCTCCATTATAAATAAATATTCTGTTTGTGATCTCGTTTCATTATGGTTTGCTGTGCACAGACCCAAAGGCCAAAAATGCATGCAGACAGCGCCAAACAGCACGAAGGTGCAATAGAGTTTCTAGAATTGAGCAAAGTTCTCAAGAGTTTGGGAAAATTAGACGATGGGAGGGAATTCCAAAGTCGAGCCGTGCGATGGAAGAAACAGAATGAAAAATGCACGAAACATTCTTTTCGGCAGCCACTTGTGATCACTACAGTTGAATAATCTTGTCAAGGAACATACACCACCTCGTCACAGAGCGTGAATCACCATCACTCAAACTCTGGTCACCCTCGCAGCGGCTTTTGGCTAACCATCGAACAAAGACGGTCACCGCATCGCGTGCTTTCAGATTCTGTGGCCGTCTGGAACGCTCTTCCTTCTAATATTAGAAAGCCACTGGAGTAATGCACTTTTACATCTAGGTTTAAAACGAATTTCTTTGAAACTGCTTTTTGTGTTTTTGTTTGTTGTCCTTCCCCCCACCCCACGCCGCACCTCCAATTAGCGCGATTGGCTGCGTACTGTGTGAAAGAAGTTCAACATACACAGAGCTGGCAATATCCATCCAAGAAGTCGTACACACGAGTCTCAAGAAGCGAACCTGAGCAACGGTCTCGGCCATCCTCAAGATTTCCGAGGATCCGAGACGGAGCCGAGTGGCGGTGGTGAAGCATTTGATGGGCAGAAAAACATTGATCCATATTATAGAGGGGTTCAATCATGATTTGAAGTTTTCGTGACTGCAGGGATCCATACTCTTTGGTTCTTTCGGTAAAGTCTCGTAGCTAGAAAAATTAAATAAATTTAAAACGAATTTCTTTTTGCGTGACTCTAAGTGACTTTACGGAAAGAACCAACGAGTATGGAAAGAGGGGTTTCTTTATTTTTTTCGTTAGATCGCGTAAATATGAGTGTGTCGTTAAACCCACCCGACGACACAGCCAGTTAGTCATTGTTTGGCACGTAAGGGGCCGTCCATAAATGACCTCACGCGATTTTGGACGATTTTTGACCGCCCCTCCCCACCCCCCGTCGTCACACGGGGTCACAAAAAGTCAGACCCCCCCTCAAATATGACGTCACAAAGCTCTGCCCCCCCCCCCCAAAAAAAATGAAACATGCTTCAAATCGCTTTAAACTATTGCCATTGTAGTGCGTATTTAACGTGGCGCTGCACTCTGATGTTGTAGGAGAAAACATTTATTTAAAAATCGATTTAAAGCTTTCGTGACTGCAATGATTCATCTTCTTTGGTTCTTTCGGTGAAGTCACGTAGAATGATAATAAAATAATAAATTGATAAAATAAAATAACACAATAATATTCTCACGACGTTTCGGCCACAACACAAGCGGCCTTCATCAGGTGAAGGGGGCGAGACTGTCTGGTAGGACAGCGCTGTCCGGACAGCGCTTTTATCAATTTATTATTTTATTATCATTCTACGTGACTTCACCGAAAGAACCAAAGAAGATTTATTTAAAAAGTCTATTTAATTAAGTAGAACGCGTTGTCTATATTTATTTTAAGTTGCGCATTTTATGTGACGTCACATTTCTCAACCCCCCCCCCCCCTCACCCCCTCGTCACACATCGTCACAAATATCTGACAACCCCCCCCCCCCCCAGGTGCGTGACGTCATTTATGTACGGCCCCTAAACAAAAAAGTGCCGATTAACTACTGCTTCGGCAAACATGGATCCGTCGTGACATCGACGTTTCGGTTCCGATAGGTCGATGCCTTGACGTCGATGTTGATCGGAAACGTCCACGTTTATGCTTTAAAATTTGTGTTTTTCATTGCCCCAAAAAAATGTACCAGAATTTATTTTGTCAGCCCTATGATGAAAAACCACAACTGGCCCGTCCCCAAACGCTGTTGCCAACCGTACAGGCAATAATATAGATATGAGAATCAGAATCTTTATTTATCCTGGAATTAATCCGATTAGCCATGAAGCTCTTTTTCACAGACGCCCAGTAGGGGCGGTTGGGAAAGTTACAAAAAATATTCAAAAAAATGTTAGGAGTACAAAGTATACGAAACGTAAGAAAATCACAAAAAAATAAGTAAATATAATAAAACGACACTTTTTATTTTACCAGATGAAGCCCACAGACGACAGCTCAATGATGGATTCTTATTCATAATTACGCACGATTTCCTTCAATAATAAACATCGCTTTCGTACATGTGCACTGCTCTTTGCTGTAAATAGTGCATTTAAAAAAAAGCGGCGAAAACATCGATGTGGGTGCACACAATGTGTCCATGTACAGCACCGAGTGTGTCCACGTATCTCCCTCGATCTCCCACCCCTACCGAGCACGCAGCCGCCCCTTACAGACACCGCCCCCCAAGTCACGGCGGCTCCATCCCCACACGATCCACCAACCCCAGCGCCTGAGTCAGAGTATTTGGCTACAGAAAAAAAATGTTCCACGTGAAAAGTAAGCCACTTCGTTGAGCTATCATTCGTGATTACCAGGTCGCTTCTGAAAAAGAGCTCTAATAGCTCAGTGGACCTTACCTGGTAAATAAGAAAAATCGATTGTTGTTTAAATTTCGGGTAAGGCCCATTGAGATAAGAACCTCTTTTACTGGTAGGAACGAAGTTATAAACTGAGTGTACCAGCCTGCAATAGATTAATGTGTCCGTCCGTCCGTCCCCTTTCAATACTTTAACGAAGTGAAATCTCGTGCTGTTGGGGTGTAAAAATAAAATTGCGCAAAATTCCAATGTTCCTACCAGCCCACCCTGCAGGGACCTGTTGTTTAAATATACTGTAGATGGGACTATAGACATAAATAATCACCGCCACTGCCACTGCCACACACCCTCCCTGTGCTAAATCGGAGTGTCCGTGACGATGGTGGGCGTTTTGCTTGCCGCCGCCGCCGCCGCCGTATTCCACGCCAGGTCAAATGACTGCGCTAAGGACAACTCCTGCCGGAGGGCGATGGAGCGAGGCGCGCCTGGGCTTGTGCCGAACCGGCTTCGAGACACGCGCCGCCGCACGCGCGCTTTCAGAAAGAAA